GGTTTTTTCCATCAAAAGGAGACCAAAATTCACAGTTTGCCTGTGCTCACAGTATGTGTGTATGAGTATTTTCTTGGATGCTCCATGAATTATTTTTTTCATGAGAAAAACCCTTAGTTTAAACAGATCAGGGGGTTGTGCTTAAATTGAGTCAGTATTCAGACTTGAATAAAATATTTTAATTACTGTATTACGTGTTTTACCGTAAAGTTTCAGTTAGGAATTGTAAATGAGGATCCTAATCACTATGGCCTGGTTGCTACTGTATATATGACTATAAAAGGCCTTTGTACATACGTATTTACATAATGTATTCTTTATGTTTGTGTCTCATTAAACCTAGGAGTTTAATAGTGATGTCTCTGGACCTCTGTTTCTGCCTTTCGTTTATTTCTGCCCTCAGAATCTTTTCACTTTGAAGTAAATAACTGATTTTGCTACACTTCTTAGTGCTATAGAGCGCTGTTAAAATAATTGTATCTACACTTCCCAAATGTATGAAAAATTAGAATTCTTGGGAAAAGATTTTGACATCCTCTGAAAAGAGGATAATGGTGTAGGCTAACAAGGAGAAATCTGTACACTTTCCTTTCAGTTTGATCACTTATTTTATACCGGTGCATTACTGTTTCTTTAATGTTCGCATATAAAATTCAGTTAAATGTTGTTCCTAAGAGCTGCAGGCAAGTTCCCCTGAAAATACCAAGATAATGAACTTGAACCTGAGCTTGCTCCATCAAAGAAATCATTACACACAATGTGTTTTAGGTTTTGGCTTTAATTTATATTATTTTTTTGTCTGTGAAATGAAGAAAGTGCATCTTTAAGATGATATGTTTGTTGAATCAATATGTATCTGTTGGTATTGCTAAGGAATTGCCTTTCTGCTTTCAAATCTCTCCACAAAATACCTGAGTAGGCATAATGTCAAAAATAGAAATAATCAACATGTATTTAAGGCTACTCAAAAAATCCATTTAAAAAGTAGGAATGTGTTTTTCAGGCATTTTAGGACCATAAATTGAAACACAAGTATTCAAATTATTTTTTTTCAAATCTACTCAAACCTATATTTATGTAGCAATACGGTGAACTTTTCTTGTCGTTTGCATTTACGTTTTTTAGCACTTCTGTATTTTAAGACTCCAGTGACCCATAAAAAAGAAAATACTCTAATTTTCAATTTCTTGGTACTGAATATTTCCCTTCCACTGGCTTTGTTTTTATAACAGTTATTTTTTAAAAGAGAGAAAAAGAGAGAGAACAGGGGAGCAGGGCGGGAACTAAAGAAAGGAATGGATAACTTTGGAAAGATGTTATTAAATAACCATCCTAGAATCTAATAGGATATAGTCAAACATTTAAAACAAAAACACAAACACAGTGGGGAGAAGGGAGATGTGGAGCCTCAGACCAAATAAGGTGTCTTCACTTTGAACCAGCCCTTCACTTTCTTTAACTTAAAGCATTTAGCTATAGAACTGTTAATGGCGCTCAGAAAGTAAATGTCTGCAATAAGACCAGGGTCCAGAAAATGAATATTTTTCAAACTTCACCAATCAACAACCACAGAGGGCTCTCAGATGCCATTATCCGGCACTCAAGTCCTGAGCTTGGCCGTGCCTTCAGAGGAAAACTATCGCATAGAACTTTTTTTTTTTTCCAGAAATCATTTTCATAAAAAGAGCCATCCTTCAGAAATCTATGGTCCCTGAAGGAGAAATCGTGAAGCTATGATGATTCACCTGGCCTCAGGGTGCATCATCCTAAATGAAGGATCAAGAGTACCTGTGGAAGGGCAGGTACAGGAAAGTAATAGCGGTAATATCCAGGAAACAGCAACTCCTTCTGAAGTTTGATTTATTTATTTAATTTCTTTCTTTTTTTTCTGTTCAGAATAGCTAGAAAGTGCCCAGCCACAGTCTGTGAGTGCTCTGCCAAGTATTTAAAATTACATAACCAAAATACTGTACAATCACCTTACCTAGTGTTACCAAGCAGCAGCACATAATCAAATATTACCATCCTCACACATAAGCCTATACCTCAATCCCTCTGTTCAAAGGCCACATGATACAAATGGGCCCTGTGGCATTCCCTGAAAGACAACAAATCCAGGGAAATTCAAACTAGGGCTGGGAAGACTTTCCAGAACACCTTGCCAGCTGACTCCCTTCTGTTATTTTAAGGGGGAACCTAGCAACAGCACCTCTGCTGACCGCAGCTGTGGTAGTGTATCATGAGGAGGGAAATGGTCAATAAAGGAGGTGGGTTCCAAGCAACTTATGGCTTGTATAGATCCCAGTGTAGATCCCAGAGCACAGGTGTCATGTGCTTCCTATAGGATGCTCCATACCCCTAGAGGTTGGCTTCCATATGCACCAGGTTCCAGCTACTGCATAGATTTGGGATGCACCGCCATGCAGAGCACATTGCAATAGTCTAAACGTAAAGTGACAAAGGCATGGATGATGGTAGCTAGGTCAGCATCTGAACATTAAGGCTGTTCCCATCTAGTAAGGTGTAGATAGCAAAATGCCTTTTTGACCCTTGACACTGCCTGGTCTTCTGAACCTTATCAGACCTCTGAGTTATGAACTCAGATTACCAATGGCAGTTGAATGTGCTCTCAGTCTCAAAGGGCAGAAACATTTGCCACTATCTCTTCTGGTTGTTTCTCCCAACTACCATCATCACCTCGATCTTGTCTGAATTGAACTTCAGCCAGCTCTTCCTTGCCCCAATCTCTGCCAGACACGGGTCAGTCTCTCGTCTGCTCCTGCTGGATCAGTCAAGAAGAAGGAAAAAAGCTGAATATTATCAGCATATTAAAAGCATCACAACCCCAAGTCTCCTCACTAACCCCACTAATGGCCTGTTATTTATATGGCATTGAACAAGAAGGGAAATAAATAGAACCATACAGTTCCCCATACTAGGGAGATCTTGGAAGTGATGAGCCATTGCCCAATAGAATCTTTTGAGACCGCTTTGCTAGGGAAGAATGAAACCACCCCAAGACAGCCCCTCCATTGCTGCTGGAGACCACGGAAAAGCCAGCAACGCCTCATTTATGGTATTCAATGGTATTGAAACAATTCCAATAATATTCATATGAACACCTGATCATCCTCCATTGGCAGGAGTTCATTGATCAACATAACAAGGGCAGTTTCTGTACCAAACCCAGGTCTGTACCCACACTGAGAAGAGTCAAGAAAATCTGAGGCAATTGGATGCTGTGAAAGTTGTCCTGCCAAAAACTTCTCATAACTTTACCCATAAAGGAAGGCATGACATTGGCCTATAGTCAGCTAGATTGTTTAAGAGGTGATTGCTTGTGGAACGGAAGCACCCAGGCCTCCTTCAGCTGCATCAGCATCCTGCCCTCCCTAATGGAGGCATTGACAATTGCCAGTAACAGAGCAACCAGCAATTCCTTGATGGCCTTCACCAGCCTGGAAGGACACAAGTTGTGTACTGAAGTACACCTCCAGCTCCTCAGTCAGTGACAAATTGATCAGATAAGATATTGCATCTGTAGTGGCAAGATAGGAGGTAAATGCAGATAGTTTGACCTGAAACCACAAAATATATAGAAATTCATCACAAAAGGTGGGGCTTGATTTAGCTCTTGAATGCAGATGGGTTGCATTAATCAAGCTGTACACCACTTAGTACAAATCTGCTGACTGAGATTTTGCAGATGCTATAGTACAGGTACAGAATCCCTTTTTGCTTCCTGTATGGCTATAGCATAATATTTCAAACCCACTTTATAATGTAGTCTAACAATTTTGACCCTGGACTTTCATATTAGCACTCTAGCTGTCTTCCCTCTTGCTTCATTTGTTACATGCCATCAGAAGACCAAAGTGACCTGTGACAATACAGCCATTGACGAGGAGGCCAGGGGCCACATGATCAAAAAGTTAATATACAATCCTACTAAACCATCAACCAAGTGTTGCTTTAGGGAAAGTAAAATCTCCCTCTCAAAGCCTTCTGGCTCCATTAGCCTCCGAGGGCAGAACTTGAAAACAGGCTTTTTTTGCTCCAACGGGACAGTTGAGCCCCATCCTCCCAATCTTCAATCCCAGCCCAAACACCAGATCAAAAGTATAACTAGCAAAGGGCATCATTCTATAACTTTCTCTAGCAAAGCTCTGATTGTCCTTTGAAATACCCCACTTATAGAGGTCTGTTCCCCCTAACCCCGGTTCAAGTGGCTGTGAATTTAACCCTTCCTCAAAGACGGTAGAACTGCCCTACGTTCTATGTGCAGCTGTTGTGCTTCAAGAAACACTCTAAGTGGTGGAGAGGCAATTTGTATAGAGTTACTTGGCAACACAACGAGGGACCTCTAACAGTTTCAATGTTACCTATTTTACTACACAGCAACCTCTTCTCTTAACTCCCATCTCTCTTGACTATGTGCCGGTTAAGCCAATGCTGCTTTCTTGGTTCTATAATGATTTTAAGTCCTACTTTTAGAAGATGTATCCTCTACTGTAATATAAAAAACTCATCACTATTTACTTTCTATTTCTTTCCTATATCTGCCACAGTAATATGATTCTAGAAGAGTGGAGAGAGCAACTTGAAAACATAGTCTTTGTCATAAATGCAAGGAAAATTACCCGTCTGCTGACAAGGAGACATCTGACCCAATATCGTTTCTGGGGAAATTCAAAACATTCATTATAAAATGTAGGTGCAAAGCAGCAACCACCATCTGTGAAAAAGGCTACATTTTCTCTGGAGAGAACCCTGGCAACACTTAGGGTGGAACATATCTTCATGCAAGAGAGTTAGGGAATATTAAAAGAAGTGGGGAGAAGATGCATCAGGATTCTGAGCAGTGGGTGGGGACGGAATTTACAAAAAAGTGAAAAAGAGCAGAATGTGAACTGAGTGGGATGGATGGATCTGACACTCATGGGAGAGGTCATACAGGAGAACATAGCCAGCAGGAGTTGGGAGAGATTTGAAACCAAAATTCTCAACATTAATAAAACACATATGGGTTATTATTTTTACTATAATTTATTTGTATACTTGAGAGCACCCAGAGGGCCTCAATGAAGTTCAGGGGCCCACAGAAGAAAGAGACTGTGCTTTTCCCAAAGAGTGCAAGAGCAATACAATGTTTTGCTCCCAGAGAGAATTAGCTGCCACTTGCCCATGGCTTTGGTCGGTATACCACAAGCTTGGAAATACATTTCACCCTTTGGGAAATGTTTTACTGCTGTCACCTCGAAGCCAGTCAATATTTGCTACACACACACACGTGCACGCGCGCATATATGATCTCTGTGATATTTGTTTACCCTGGATTTATAAGATCCCATTGCACACTATAGAAGAAGAAAACTAAATATGCAAAGGACAGGTAGACTTTTAATGGAGTTACTAACTCAGTGTTTCTCCACAGAAACTGACCTTGAAATTGCTTTTTTAATACACAAGTCAAAATATGCAAATTCAGAATTCAGAGTGGCAGCTTAGAACCTGTATACACTTTGTTAAATTTCTTATGAAGGACAGGGAAATTTCTCATTTTACAAAGGCTGTTCATCAGCTTCTAAAACTGAGGATTGTAGACCACAGAGCTATGTAAATCCTGGGGGAGAAGGGTAGGAATTGACCCTCTGAGTTTCACCTTGAGCTTCCAGTTCAAGTGAACCAAAACATTTAGAGTGAAATTCAGTGGAAGTCCCACATTTCATTTGGTTTTGTTGTGAGATCCACCAGGGTTTGCTTGTAAAGACTGTGAATTATTGTCGAATTTGCGCAGTGCTTCAATTTTATAACAAAACCAAAAACTGGGAGAATTCCCAGCAGTTTCCTTTTGATTGACAATATTTTCTGAATTTTCCTTAGCAGCATTTGTTTTGCCACCACACAAGGAAATGTCTGGGATGGCTACTACAAGTAGAACTCCCAGTTAATCTGAATTCCCTTGCCATTTTTGCCGAGATTAATCATTTTGTATATATAAAAAAATTATAAACATCTAGTGCTTCTACCATCGCCTTTTCTAAATAATAATAATAATATATCCTAGCCCTGTTAAAATAGTTGTAATGAAGGAGTGTAAATTTTGCTGGAAGAAGCATTTTCATTCCATATTCTGCCTCCTGATCCTACTCAACAAAAATATAACTTATTTTTTAAAGGTATATCCATTGGTTATCTTCTCAGTCCCTACAATCTTTCAATGGAAACATAGTTTTCCCTCCTTCCTCCCCGCTCCTTGTTATAACCATAAAGAGTCAGTACCATGAATTTCAGTTAAGTTTATGATTAGTCCCTAACTACAGCTGCCACCACATTTGGCAAGGAAACCTCTTCTGGAAGCATTCTTGTAGATAGATAAACAAGCAGATATACTACGCTGGTGGACAGATGAATAGGAAATAGCTTGGTTCCCCATGATAAATCTATCACGGGTGGGGAGAAGATTCATGTAAAAACATTTGGTTATGTGGTAGTATAGAGGATTAGGCACATGCTATAATTAATGCCACTAGCAGTAAAAGGACATTAGGGATGTAGTGTGTGTTGATTATTTCTTCATTTTGTTTATGCTAGTTTCCTCTCCTTCGCAGCTGTATGGCTATTGCCAAAGAAAGCCCCAGAGACCAAGCTTTAGCCGCTGCTCCTCTGTAACTGCATCATTACCTCGCTCCAAACAAAGTTCCTTTTTTTTTTTTTTTTCAATAGAGGATGAAAACATTATTGGATTCAGGAGCTCATAGTAGTCCTATATGCAGCTAGGGACGAGGAGGATAGATTTATGAAATGGACCATTTCAAATGGCATTATCTTCCCACAGTGAGGTACACCTTTCATAAATCATGGGAGAGTGTTTGAAAAAATAGAGCATTTGTTATTCCTGCTATATATTATATTTGCATCCTCCACACTATGATCTTAAGGGAGGGCAGGAATCCTCAGTTTGGTTTTGTTCATTTCTAGCAATTAAGGATTTGTATGTTATGTGGGGGGGTGGGGGGAGAAGATAATGCAGAAGAAGAATTGGGGAAAAGTTTAACTGTTTTATTTTCCAATTTATTTCAGACTTAATTTTCTAGTGTTGGTAGAAAGCCAACAATTTATTCTTTACACTCATGAAATGTTACAGAGCATTCTATGCCTCATTATGTTGCAGCCAAGCTAATATAGATGCTTTAGGATCAACTAGGAAAAGGAGTGCAAGTACAGCCCAAAGCTTTTTATTATTTGTTTATTATTTATTTGTTGTTTATTAATACTGCTTTGTTTTTCTTCTCTGATACTCAAAGTGTCTACTTTGCTACATTAATAAAATGGTCTCTGATGCCTCTTGAACTTATCTGCCATCTATGAATTGTACTGGGAGGAAAGAGAGTTCTTTTTGTGTTGTCAGTATTTCTTCTGTGTTTTCACAATCCAATATTGCAATAATTTTACCAGTGAATCTGATGCCCCTTGGGATAAATGCAGGTCTCTATTAAACCTGTAACTAGACTGATGCGAAAAGTCAACGTTTATTACACAGTATTATTTGTGTGGCTGCCTTAAAAATAATCTCTTTGCTCTGGAGAGAAAAGTTTCTAGCATGTTATGTGATAGCAACATGTCATTACTTGTAATGAGCCAAACAGAGAAGCCTTGATTTTGGCCAGTGTATTTTGTCCAGCAATGTTGGAGACAGTGAAGCAAAATGACCTGGGTTTATATATAAAAACCTGAGGAAATTTCATATAGAAGAACTAAATTTAAAAACAACATTCTTTACAAAGTCAAGCACTCGAAAGTTTTCAGATTTCTGGTTTCCTCTGCAACCTTTATTCTGCCTGTTTGTGAGTAAGCATTATGATATAGTTTTTAATTACCTGATCACAAACTGTTTTTTCATAGGACCCAGCCTCATTCATTGTAGAATATGGACACACAAGTTGACAGAATTAAAGTTGTATGGGCAACTGCTAACCTAGGTTTCCATAATTTTCAAATGCTTGACTTTGCTACCTAAATAATGGTCTTTTTAGCGTGGGTTTTTTGGTATGTTTAAATGGCTACACCTTATGTTTTGTATATTTAGCAAGCTGCCAAAGACTTCCTGAACAGCTCAAGTGGCAAAATGGAAATGGTGATTTTTAGAAGTTTATACCTCAGCTAAATCTGAATGGAACATACTAGTTTCCTTACAGAATATTATCCTTCTCTTCTCTTCTCTTCTCTTCTCTTCTCTTCTCATTTCTCCCTGATCTCTCTCAGTCATGCTTACCAAGAGCCTTTGTTGTAGCCAGAAGCTAGATGGAAAAGAGTGCTCTTGTCAACATGAAGTTCAAAAATTCATCTGCAGTGGAAAGTAAAAAAAACCCCACCAAAAAACAGTAAAGATCAAATTGGCAATGTATTCCTGAAATTTCTGCAGACACTATTACTTCAGATGTTATGATCCCTGCTTTTCAAGACTCTCAGGTCCTCAGCCTACTGTCCTAAGGACCATTTCCATACTTAGGTATCTGGACCCTGAATATGATGGGTTGGCACATGAGATGTTAATTCTCTACATCATTCTTGAGGTTTGTTACCTTGTTAGAGTGAACTGCATATAGCTAGTGCAAGCTTACTGTACCACGCATGCTGCTACATCATGAGCCGAGTGAGGTGATCCCTCTTTATGACATGTATGCATTGATAAAGTTCACACATTCACTACACATTACCAGGTAGATATGCCTGTTGTGCTGAAAGAAGATGTAAATTATTAATCAGCCTGCAGCATTCCCAAGAGAGCATTAAAGTTGTAAAAGACAGTTCTCCAACATACAGCACCATATTTTCTTCTGGGGAGACAGGAAATGTTCTTGTCTCAAAAAAATTGTGATCCCTGGCCCATAAAAAGTGAGAAGAACGCATAGCAGCTTGTTGAAAACAAATAGCTATAGCTTCTTGCGAGAAAGAGTAGAATCTGATTTCTGTGACTTTAAGAGCTTGGTACACAATAATATTGGTCATGTCACTATGACAGAGGAATTGCTTTTATAGTTGAGCTGTGATATTTCCTTATGTCTTGAACAATAGTGTATCTGATGATAAAAATGTCTCTCTCATGGGTATTGCCACTCCTATTTTGAGGCCATAGTATATTTTTCTGTTGCTGTACAGTGGTTCTGAATACACCATTCTGTATGCAGTGTTGTTGTAACTGTATCGGTCCCAGGATATTAGAGAGACAAGGGTGCGTGAGGTAATATCTTTTATTGGACCAACTTCTCTTGGTGAGAGAAACAAGCTACACCACTCTGTGCCAGTTTTGTATCCTGACCACTGGTTTTGGTCTTTGCAGTTCTTTACCCACAGATCCATACAACTTTGGAAAGCACTGTTTTATGCATTTAAAACTTGGTCAAAATTTTGCAGGAACATCTTTTACTGACTCTAAGATTGCAGTTCTTTGACCCAGTTCACAGTACTCACCTTCTCTAAACTCATAAAGTTTTGTTGTTGTTTTAATCAGAGGATTCTGTGCAAATTAAGGCCATTGGACTTTCCATTGCTTGTGGTATCCATAGCAAACGATATCCCCATGAATCCTGCTTCTGCTCTCAGTTAGTGATGTAAATCTGGAATAATAATAGTGTAAGAAAAGGGAACTGTCCCTTATGTATTAACTGCAAACCCTAGCAAGGACATATAAAAACTTTGCTAACATTACCTTTGTAAATGATAGGAGAGAAAGGACTAAACCAGGGGTCGGCAACGTTTGGCATGCGGCTCACCAGGGTAAGCACCTTGGCGGGCCGGGCCAGTTTATTTACCTGCTGACGCGGCAGGTTTGGCCCATCCTGGGCCAATGGGGGTGGCGGGAAGCCACGGCCAGCACATCCCTCGCCCGCGCCGCTTCCCGCCGTCCCCATTGGCCCGGGACGGCGAACCGCGGCGAGTGGGGGCTGCGATCGGCCGAACCTGCCACGTCAGCAGGTAAATAAACTGGCCCAGCCTGCCAGGGTGCTTATCCTGGCAAGCCGCATGCCAAACGTTGCCGACCCCTGGACTAAACATTAGTCTTCCATTAAAAATAGATCAAAAATACCAAAAGGAGGGGAAAAAACAGTGAAATAAGAAATTAGGATACCTCCACTCAAGGCCTGCAAATGAGTTTGCTAAACATGTTTTCTCAGGCTACTCAGATTTTAACTTCCTGTCTGTGCCTGAAGCAATAAAGACAGAAATACTATCATTAGCTTCAAAACCTTTCTTAACAAAAACAACAACAAACCCTCCTAGCTACATTTTTTTTTTTATTTTCCCCTTTAGCTAAATATCTGTATAAATTACAGGACAATGTTACCCACTCAATTTAGGGCACCCCGCCTATACCCTACTGAGGGCTCAAGGCGTGACCTGGTCAATTTAGGCACCCTCACCCTTTCCCTTCCGAGGGCTCAGAGTGTAAGGCAGCTATCCTTACCACGGGGCTCAGGAAGAAACCTGGTCAATTTAAGTTCCCGCCCTTTCCCTCAGGGCTCAGCTCAGAGCTCTATGGGTCTGTGGAACCTTTTCCCAGTGAAAAAGCCTTACACAGCTGTGCTCTAAACATCTATTTATTAGCAACACACACAGAATACATATACCAAACAAATCTCTAATGCTCACCACTCCCAGTATACAGACAAATTTCACCCAATGGCCAGTCAGGATTCATTCATCTGGGGGTTTCCGGCGATGCCTCTGCACATCACGGTCGTGCAGAGGGGTCAGAGTTCCAGCAGCTTGATGTTGAACTGCAGTCCAGAAATAGTTCCCGGCAAGCATTGTTATTCATTTACATTACATAGGTAAAACTAGCTCCCTCCTTCAAATTTACTAAACCTATCACATGATCCCACACTCCTAAATAACAAAAAATTTAACCAATTACGCACTGGCATCTATGTAGCTTCCTTCCTGCCCAAGTTCTTTACATTTTATCATTCATGCCCAAATTGTAATTTAATTGTGACCTTCTCTATTTGTGCAGATGGTCAGCATAAAATGCTGGTCAGAGCTTATTTTACCATTTGTTGAGTCTCTTTCTGTATCCTCCCTAATTTCCCAGTGCCTGGGGGTGTCTACTTTATAACCTTGGTGGTTATAACTCTCGTTAGGGACATTCCTGAGGTTGGGGGTGCTTTGGCAGCAGCAGAACATTCTTTTTTTCAATTTTAGTAGTGAACTCCCTGAGTTTCACCCAAGGCTGGTTTTTATTGTGGGGGGTGGAGGGGTGTTGATCAGGTCTCAGGCCTACAACAGGTGCAACCAGGATTTTGAATATTAACTTGAATGAGAGCATGAAAAGGTGTTCCCTTTTCTTTCTTAGAGAGTCTGGTTGTGCTCTCGTTGACTACAGCTGCTCCAACTGGATGCTTGCTTGAAGAATGTTAATTTTCATGCTTGAAAGAAGAAATCTCAGGTTTCCTGGGTGAACTAACTGTTAATGGATTTTAAAAAAATGTATCATCAGTGGCGTAGGAGGGTGTGGACTGTGCTGGGCTCAACATACATACTCTGTGATCAGATAACGTGTTATCATAATGAAGCCGGTGGGTAACACTTTGCATTGTTCAATAAAGTAATTGGTCTGCCCCCCTCACTTAGCCTCTTGAGCACTGCGAAGAATAATGGTGCACCTAACTGCTATTTATAACAATTTTCACTTCCTCCAGGGTCTAAATTGGAAACCTAATTTCAGATCTATAAAAGCTAAATATAGTAAAAAAAAAAAAAGTACCCCAAATGAAGCTAGAGCTGCTGCTCACACGCATTTCAGGCTATTGCTTTCTGACAAGGTTCAGGTTGATTTACCTTGCAGTGGATATATAATTATGTCATTGAAAAACACTAGCAATTAAATAATTTTTTCTTAGGGTACTGTTTTATGAACAAGGACAAGCTGCAAGAAGTCAAAGGAAAGAACACAGTGTGCTGTTCCCCAGCACATGACAGTGGGGTAGTCATGTAAACACTTTGCTTTCATGTTTTGAGAGATATAGGGGGCGAAGGAAGAGGTTCTCTCTTTAAAAAAATACCCTTTCCAACATAAGCCAATTTTAGTTATCTTCTTTTTCGCCTCTGGTCAGTGTATCTTCGTTGCACTTCTTCAGAAACAGAAAACCTAACACAAGTACACATGTGCATATATATGTGGATATATACAGATATATATGCTTTTGCATGTCTATAGCTAGACTGTGTACTTGCATGTGGATTTGTAATATAAGGTTTGTGTGTGTGCTCATTTCACAGCCTTTCATGATATTCAGCAGGCTAACACCAACTTTTATAAGGGTATTTGCGGTAACATGTTCGCGCTTTTATGACAGAGTTGGTATCAACAGTTTCAATATCATTTTTTCTATTTGATTATGAGCGTGTTAGTGTTTCAGCTTAGCCTAATTATCGCTTTTGACTCACCCCAACATATAATGTTGCATGTCATGCTGTACTACTTTTAATTTCACAGCTGAACACATTTCTATTGTTCTAATCCCGCTCTCCAAGTCTCACTTTAACTCCATCTGGAGGACATGCAAGGTGTATGGCTTCCTGAGGTAGCAGTAGTAATATCTATGGATCACCCTGCGGGGAATATGAGTGGAACAGTGCAATCCAAATATTTTCTCCTTCAGGAACTAAATGTGTCATTCTTATGGCACATGCTGCCTCTACCAGATGGATTAGTGTTCTGGGCTGCTGTTGAATGTGAGTGAATCATTCATCAGCATGGTGCTATAGGACCACTGGACTTTCTCTGCTGAAGGAAAAACTAAATAACAGTGCAGCTAAGGATGTAAGAAACAAGGGAGAGTTCAATATCAAATTTAAAAAATGGAGAGGCACCTCACAAACATATCAATAATATTTTTTCCTCATTATCTATATATCTATGTGTTTTTTAACACATATGATAGTGAAAATAACTGTTATTTTAGCTCCCAAAGCCTTTCCTCATTGCTCTAGCCTTAATGTCTTGTCATGAGGTTCTGATGTGACATCTTCCTGAAAATGTGTATTGCTCATTTACCCAATTTCTGTCAATCTAAAATACTCCCTCATTTCTTCTTTGGGAAAACTTCCAAACGCCTAAGTGAAGTGCAGTCAAATTTTCATGGCCTATGGAAAATCCAGTCTGTACTCTGACACCTCTGAGAGTTTCCTACTTTCCTACGCAGCCCACTTATTACCTTCTAAGTTGTGTGTCCTCTTCTTCCAAAGAAATCTATTTCAGGGAGTAGCAAAAGTACATAGCATGTGAGTGCTTAACCAAACATCTCACATTAATCCAGTTCAAGCATTTTCATAAATGGCAGACTAAGGGGAGGCTGCTTCCTGACAGATTTAATATCGACATTTTCAGAATCAGGTTTCAACGTTTTGAACTTTAGAGATTTCAAGGCAGTATTTTCCCTCTCTTTGTCAAACATCATTGAGGAGATAGTTTTCATGTTTAAAGAAGTAGTTTATCTTTGACTCTGGATAGATGTAACCAAGCTTTTTGTGTATACTATACTAGTGGCAGCTGTAGATCAAAATTTTAATTGGACCCAATAAACCTCCTCAGCTGGACATGAGCTCATTAACTAAGGGCACTTTTACGTGTGCCTATGAGGTCTATGCTATGACTGCTGGATTGTTCGATGAAATGTGGGTACTCTTTCTGATTATATATTAAACAGTGGTAGGAATAACAAAGTCAGCATTTACAACTAATTACCCTACAGTGATATTGAAGACTCTGCAGTTCTTGTATCTCAGAATGCAGTATGGGGTCATGACAAAACCACTAACCC